GGGGGGGGGGAGTCTTGGCGCGACTCTTCGTTTTGTGATCTTGCTTCGTCTCCTTGTACAGGTGTTGGGGCTTAGGTATCCGGGGCCATACCGTCACGTCACCTCTGTTCGTGCCACTCGTAGCGTCAACCCTCACCTGTTCCCAAGTGGGCCCTAAGTTTGCGGTGCTAATGGTAGCCGCGTACACCCGAGGATGTTGGGTCGGTGTATGTGTCGCCCGCTGATGCCATGTCGGCATGTTCAGTCTGTGCTTGACGTATGCACCTGCGGGAGTGGCACAGGATGTTTTCTTTGTCTCACCTTTTCCAGCTGCGATGCTTGCCTTGGATGCTTCAGCCTAAGTTTATCAGCTACAGTACGCCGGGGCTAGGTTGAGGGAATGGGTTAAGATACGAAATGGATCGGGTGGGCCGTGTCTTTTTGTTGGTTCGCGACTTTCCGTAGCACTCGTTTTCTCCTCCATGCTATGCATAAGAGAATGTGCTCTACGCGTAAGTTCATTACTGTTTCGCTGACATCGAAGTATCATGTTGTACTTGGTACGAATTTCTACTGGTATTTTTCCAGACTGTTTGATGTCTCTGCTTCTCTCGCGTCACACCGCGGTCATCAGTTCGTTCCCCCCTTGTCTTGCACTCGGGATCGGCAGCGGGGGGGCAGCGCGTGATGGTGCACTGCCCCCACGACGCCCGGCCGGGGCAAAAGATCCGCTTCCAGCTACCCATCCAGCTCAGCGAGGCCCAGCTTCAGACGTACAACATCCACTACTCGGGGAAGGTGAGAAGTCAATTTTCTGTCCCGGCGACGACAATGTTGAGGGTGATGCTCTGTAGGGGGTGCAGTGGAACCCGCATGGGAATCACGGTGTGTGCCGTCGGATGCACCACACGCTCTACTTTACAGTTGATCTACGGTGCCCTCGGCTTCATCTACGGTGCCCCTCCCACGCCGAGTATCGGCCACCTCTGTCGTGGACTCCGCTTGTTGATCTACGGTGCCCCCGGCTTCCATCTACGCCCCCCCCCTCCGATGCCGAATATCCACCACCTCTGTGTCGTGGACCGATCCAATCTTGATTAGCACCGAAGTTGGCTTGACCAATCAAATTTCCCGCCGAGCAGGACGGCTGGGTGAGATGCGTGGGTACAGACCTCAAGTTTCACTGGGTACGGCACGATGAAGACGGCGCGGATCCGGCGGCTGCGGCGGCGGTGGCGGTGGATGGGGAGGGCGGGGCAGGGGGGGCGGGAGCGGCGGCGGCGGTAGCGGGAGGGGATGCGAGCTCGGCACAACCGCAGCAGCAGCTGCAACGGAGAGCTAGCGTCTCCGACAAGGTCACTCTCAAGCGGAAGGTGCGTGCGTGATAGGAGGGGGCGGTGGTGATGTTGTCTCCCAGGAAAACGAACGAGGACACGGAGACCGCGTGTTGAGGGGTGGAGAAAGAAGACCGATATTCAAGAGTGCCGAAGAAAGGGTTTCCGCGGCGCTTTCATCCTGCAACTCCCGCGAAAGGGGGGAGTGGGACCACCTGGCAAAATGTACATGGGAGGGGGCGGTTGAGGAGAGGGCGAGTGAGATCAAATGGGCTTTTGTGCTTTGGTCCGTCGAGTCAGGCGCTTCTTACGACCGAAGTACTTTTGTCAGTTCGTGCCTGCTTGTTTGTTGTATTTGCCACGCTTCGGTGGTCCAGTCGGTTCCCACTCTGATGTGTACGGAGACGTTCGGCAGAGGTGGAAATGGAAATGGAAATGGCGTTACGGGAGGCGCGCGGTTGTAGGCGTGCTTAAAATGTGTTTGTGCTATGACGGTGAAGCAATTTTTTTTTTGTGACATACGACGACGACTGGTTATGACCATCCTCATTCTCTGTCGTCCTGCATAAGCCTCGGCCAGGGCG